ATTAATGTTTATAAATATGTAAAGGATGAATTTCAGGAGCGTGGAGCCAGGCTCTTCTCAGTGATGCCCAATGGTAGGACAAGGGGAATGGGTGTGAGCTGGAACACAGGAGGTTCCACTTAAACTTGAGAAGAAACTTCTTTACAGTGAGGGTGACAGAGCCCTGGGACAGGCTGCCCAGGGAGGTTGTGGAGTCTCCTTCTCTGGAGACATTCAAAACCTGCCTGGATGCCTTCCTGTGTGATCTCATTTAGGTTCCTGCTCGGGCAGGGGGATGGGACTGGATGATCTTTCGAGGTCCCTTCCAATCCCTGACATTCTGTGATTCTGTGTAATATAAGTTAACAATTTTTATAAAGGTGAGTGTTAATTATGCCTTATATTTTATTTTGAAGGATTCCTCTAGTTTCTTGGAATCTGCCTTCACCAGAAATAAATATTACCAAGTTAAAAAGCAAGGGACCTCTACAGAAGAGTGCTAAGGATGAGAATTCTGAAAATGGAGTGGGCACTTTTGGGAAAGATGAAAAGCTCATTACTGATACATGGCAAAGAGCAATAACAGCGATATCAAATATGGTAAGGAACGTTTTATTTACTTAAGCATTTCTGGATTAAACAGTCAAAGCCTCCCATTCAGTAAGCAGCCTAAACACACAGCCATCACACCATGTGTCTCAATTTCATACCTCTTGCTCCACCACTGATATTTCAATTGAATATGTTTGTGTTTCTGTGAGGAAAATGCGGCAAATGATGATGGGAAGAAAAAGGACTCCGAGCCTTTTTCTGAGTAAAGCAAGCTTCTTTATTAGAGAGAATCCTCGGTTCCCTTGTGCCCAAGCTTCTTTATTAGCAAGATCTTTATTCTCTATTTTCTCCTCACACAGTTAACATTTATACATTTGTGTTCTCAAAACAATCAAGCTACACAGGACATAAACCAGGATACTTCTTGGCACACCTACACTCATGACTGTTTTCAGCCACATCTCAGTACACACACTCTCTCATGTGATTTTCCAGCCTGACCTTCTCACACATTCATCAACTCCTGTCCTGTGAAGCTTGTTTGAGAACACGCTGCAAATTCCAATGTTAACCTTGTCTTCCACCTGTTTACCACAGTTCCCACAGAAAATGTTGGAATCTGTGTATTATCAGCACTTCTGTATTTACGGCTAACCATTTCATTACTGAGATAAATACTCTGAATGTTAACTTTGTATAACTACCTCCTCCCTGAAAAACTCTGCCCTTATCACTCCACTAAAATCGTGAGAAGAGGGACAAGTTTTATCCTGTGATGAGATGTTTGCTTAAACCTTTCATAACTTCAAAAGCTATGGTTACATTCTTTTTTATATGTAGCTAAAAGTAAATTAAGTGGGCTTTTCAAATGGTTGGTTTCTAGGTTCTAGGTTTTGCTTTTTCTTTTCTCTTTTCATTTTAAAATAAACAAATTTCTGCACCCTTACAGTGTAACTGTAGTCTTGCTTTGCATACTGTTGATTCTTACATTTTTCACTTTTTCCTAGAGTGCAGGTAATAGATTACAAGAATTAAAACCAATTAAACTAATATCTCTGTCTTGCATTTTCGTTGTACAATTTTATTTCTTATAAATAATAAAAATGTATTAAATTTAATTAGTTAAAATATATTATTTGTTCTATTTTTGTGTGTATGTCTCAGGAAGTACTTTCAGTAAGTATAGACTGTTTAAACAGTAGTTGCATAGTGTTGATGCTGTGTATTTTGCTGTGTGTGACTATGGTATGGTGACTGTGCTATGTGAATATGTCAAGGTAACAGCTGAAATACAGTCTAAAGACATGGAGGAAGAAAAAGAACGTCAGCAGCTAGAACTGAAAGAAGAAGATAAGAAATCTTCACAGACACCATCAGGCAAAGCTACTGGGAAAGCTGCCAAAGGTGCCAAAAAGAAAGGTATTTGAAATGCAGACTTTGTTTTAGCAGTGCTTGAAATTACTGAAGTATAAATATGTCAGTAATATAGAAAAGAGTAAGCCAAGACTCTTGGGTTTGGATTTAATTTCTCATTTGAAATGTCGAATGTGACATATCAGTGTGAAAAGCTGGTAGTGATAAAAGGAGTGCAGAGGCTTTTGAATGGCAATTACATTTATTTGATAATATGTGTTGCTGTTATTATAATGTAGAAACAAATATTCTAAATAGAACCTAGAAAGTAAATATTAATTTTTCTCAGTGTACTGTTTTGAAATTGAATAGTTAGAACTAGTTTATCAAATTAAATAGAATTCCATTAAATTTGGCCTACGTTCCAACCATAAGTCAAAATATTTCAAATGCTCAAATAAAAGTACTGGAATAGAATGGATAAATTATCCAATACCCCAGGATATTTTGGAATGAATTTATCAGCCCTAAAGTAGCATGGATCTATCAAGGTCTGTAATTTTTGTATAGAACTGTAACATGCTGTAAATAAAGAACATGAAATCTAATGGCATATGTAGTCCTAAAAAAGAGCAAGCTCCTATTGAGGTAGATCTTGCTCACAGGCCTGGCAAGACTCTGTCCAACCCGGTGAGAATACAAAATTTATTTGCAAAAGAGAAACAGACCTAAAAAACCTTATGTCTTTAGCCTAGCAATTCAGGCAGTCTGCTGGGAGTAATCATGGTATGCAAGGCTGTTTATATATATTTTTTAAAAAATACTTCCTTGAGCAGGTAGTTGTTTAG